ATTAAAATGTGCTCTTGTTATAGCTGCACCTTCGTTTGCATGCTTCTTTTTTTTTTGCTTGAAGTGTTTATTCGGTTGTTCTTCTTTTGTGCGCTAAACGCAAGCCTCTGCTGCAAAAATATTTTACTCCACAAATGAGAGGCAATAAAACATCGAATGAATTGCGAAATTGCAGTCTGAACTGTTTTTTTTTTTCAATTTAGAACAAACCAGGGGCGTAGCCAGCGTGTGGCACTCCGGGCCCGTGAACCCCCTCACCATCCGAAATTTTTTGGAGCCCGTTTCTGCGTTGAGCGGCGTCGCCGTTGGCGATGTAACCGATGGACATGAAAAAAAAATAGATGAAAAGGAGAAAATAATACCGAGGCTGTAATGAGATTTGAACGCAGGCCCTCTGCGTGGCAGTCCAGTATACTACTACAGAGCTACGCTGGGTTTTGTTTTCTTTATTGGCCGTTTTGACTTATAACAAACACAAAAGAAAAATATATTCACAATAAAACAATCGGATGAAAAAAAATCAGTCTTGAGAGCTAAACAGAGAAAAAGAAAAGACGAAAGCCTGAAACGCGTTCACGAAAAAGACTCTATACAGGCATGGTGTAGAGCAAGGAGTCGCATTAGATAACAACCAGTGATCATACAATGCTAATTGCGCAACGAGTGTGTGGTATAATGCTTCCCACCCAACTCAATGTGCTCAGCCATAATTCTTCATCGTCCTCGGCCACATGCACCTTCAACAAAGGGTACAGAACACTTCACAGATGTGTAGCGGATACCTCGCTCATCCGCTGAAAGAAGAATAATGGCGTGGTGAGTGCCGTCTTTCTTCACAAAAATTATGATTTATGGCTTAGTTGATAGATTGCGGAAAGCCAAAACTTCAAACAGAAGTGGCCTTTCAAAACACGAAGCTGCGCTCAAAATTCGCATTTGGCAGTATCGATCATCAGTGAATTTTTCAGATTTGGGTGCACGTTAAAGAACCCCAGGTGGTCGAAATTTCCGGAGCCCTTCACTACGGCGTCTCTCATAATCATATGGTGGTTTTCGGACGTTAAACCCCACATATCAATCAGTGAATTTTTCGCCATAGCATACAGAGCACAAAATGACACTCGAACACATTGGCCAGCCCGGCCCACACTTCAGATAAAAAGGGTGCCCCCCCCCCCCCCCCCCGATAACATTTCTGGCTACGCCCCTTGGAACAAACATATTACACACTGTAAAAAAAAGGACAAGAGCAAGCACACTAAAGGTCCAACAAGAGTCTCTGACATTCAAGTCGTTCTTCTAAGTTTCAAGTGCTTCCTTCTTTCGCTCGCTGAAGCTCGTTCTCTGTTGAGGGACTTAGTAAAAAAATGAAGCCTGGTCAGAAGAAAAAACCTGATCACGTTGTTTGTCAGCTCGTCTTGATGTGTGTGACACCCAACGCGGGGAACATTCTTCATGATCTGCAAAACTTCAGTCATGCTGTCTCGCTGAAGATTGTTCCAGCTGAACCACATCGTAAAAACATCTTCCAAAGCTTCAATAAATGCAAAGAACTCGACGGAAGGGTACAGAAGACCTCCTTGGTCGCAGAAATCCGTAAACGAAGAAAGACCTTCAACTGCGTCTTTAGCGGATGTTAAGAGCAGGTCAAAACATTCCCGACACTTCGTTGCCATCACCTTTTTCCGGGCCACATATCCGGCCAGGTAATACGTTAACCTGGCATCACTTGTCTGCTTTGGGTAGACATGATCGGAAAGTTCAGATTGCTCAAAGACACTCGAAGCCTTATCAAGTTTTCCCTCATCAAGTAGGGTGTCCACATGGTTGGCGGCTGCGTCCACTCCGACAAGGGACGTGAGGGCACCTCCTGCACAGTTTCCTGTGTCCAGCGCTTTGCATAATTTATAAAAACTTAAGCAGTTAACTGCTGTTAAGAACTGGGATGAGGTGGGGTGGTCATTACAGCCGGAAAACTGCCGAATAATGCCAAACAGCTTTTCGATGGGGTCTTGGCTCAGACGTGAGGTTAGCAAATACTTGTATCCGACACGTTCAGTGAGATATTCAAAAAGCTGTAGGGTCCCTTTTATCGTGACCCGAAGGCCTTCAGCAGTGCTGCGTGACAGAAAGCCTGCCTTTGTGGGCCCTGTGTTGGCTTCCCACCTATTAATGTAATCCAGGGCATTTTGCAGCACTTTTACTCCTTCGGAGTTTTTTCTCAGTGCTGCTGTAGGCACCCTTGAGGTTATTACAGAAATCAATTTCTGCATAAAGGTGATGAACTTTTCTGTTTCCCTTACATAAGAACATGACTTAGAAATTTGCTCTCGGTACAAAAACAGACCACGCAGCACTTCGGCACTGAAGAGGTGAAAAGCATAGTTGACCTTCATCTTTTCGAAATTATTCGGATTCAGGTGAACATGTGTGATCTTGGGCATTGCCTTAAGTGTTGTTGCACACTTGTCCAATTGGTAGGCAGCTCTGATTGGTCGCACATCAACGTGACCTGCTGGAGTTTTGTAGCCCCCTTTTATGAAGCCATTTCTCACACATTTAACTAGATGGGGAAAGTCTGAAAGGAAGAACAGACGTCTACTATCGTCAGCAGGGTGCTGTACTGATGGCGTGACAGCTGCAGCCGTACCGTATATGCCAAACTGATGCCACATTGCATGGTTCCAGGATGCCCCGTCGCAAGTGACATAATCAACTCTAAGCCCTGCTTTTTCGGCCAAAACGACCGCTTCCAAAATAATCTTGGAGAGTAAATGGGCTTTTACATTTCCCCTCGATGCAAAAACACCTAAAATTTGATGCCAGGACCCGGACAAGGGTTGAAACATTACAATCATTCCATGGTCACACGGCACACTCTTGTCAAGTTCAGAAGTAAATGCACCAAGGTCCACAAAGCCATCAATTTTTCCAGTACCTGGTGCCACTCCAAAGTTTTCGGCAAGTTTCATCTCGTCTATTATCAGACCGCCGTGACGCTGAAACTCATCCATTCTTTCAGTTTTTTTTTTGCAATTCCAGAGGGAACTGAGGAGTTGAAACCGAAGCTGCTCTCATACTTCTTCATGAAATTCTTGAGACAAGTGCGGCTGGGAAGCATGAGAATCTTCTCTCGGCGTACGTGCTCGTACAGTCTTGGGCTCTTAATACGCATTATGACACATTCCAGAATCCACTCAGAACTGTAGCGCATGCCTTTAGGTGATTTTCGGCTTGCAGCGGCAAAACATTGAAGTATGGCAGCTTTTTGTTTAGGGGGAAGGCTGTCAATCTTTTTCAAAAGTACCTCTTCCTCAATCTTCTCATTTTCTGCTTTCATTTGCGAAATGATTTCGTCTAACGCTTTCACTTTATCCTTCAAGCGCCGCACAGCTTGCATTTTCGTTTTCATCTTTCGAGAAACATTTGTTTTTGACTTGGTTTTTTTTTCTCCGACACATTTGGTTGGTGAGGATTCTCCGAAGATATTTGCAGGCTACACACCGCTCAAGTGAGGTACCTGCGCACTTTTTGTTGTACAGGCTCCCATTCCATACTGTCAAGTTGGAGTTAGAGCTTGCGAACGGGAACTCTTCAAGAAATCCTGCCCCTGAACATACATGCATACCATCGACAGCCTTGAGAACGGAAGCTGGGCCGCCAGGCTCGTCCAGATCAAGTTTCACTCCGCGCACAAACACTTCATGCGCCACACTATCGTCGGTCACAGTAAACAACACAAGCTTCTCAGCGCACAGGAGACCCATGTCTGGCCCCGGTGAACACACACTGTACGCGACCTTCAATGGCACACCACCGAACACGTGCTTTCCCCAGCTGTCTGACGGCAGGGCAACGTCCTTGTGGTTGAAAGGAACTTGAGGCTCAGAAGGCACTGTCGCAGACTCATCTGGCTCCTCACCTAGCAGTGGCTGTAGCACCTCGCTGAGCCGTTGCCGCTTTTCTGGCAGATCAAGCGGTGGGCACAACCTCTCCTTGGGATTTCTTTTCGTGGGAACGGGCTTTGATAAGTAGGCAGGCACATTGGGAAAGATCGTGGGTACGGCGCCAGGCAGAAGGACCGGTCACGTTCTCTCAAGGCGTACAGTTTTCCCGTCAATAATATGTTCAAAGTGTCGTGATACAAACTGTTTGTCGAAATGAAGCTCGCCGACAGCTGCGTTGGACTCAAGCGGCTTATCTGCTCTTGGAATGTTGCGCTGCCACTGTTGAAATACGTCCGCTTCTTTGGGCACGCCGAACAATGAGACTTTTTCTTTGCACGACTTGTACCCGCTCTTGCAACCGGGTACAAAACAGTGACTCTGTCGTCGGCTCATCACTGCTTCTCAAGGCATCATTTAAATGAAGAAAACAACACGAAAGGCACGCACAACGCACGCAGTCCAGCATGCACACATGTGCTTCTCGTGGCGGCCTGACGTGTAAGCGGGAGAGCGCGCCACCTAGCGGATACATCGCCAAGCTGCCTCAAGGGTTCCCATACGCGCCGCCTGGCGGTAATCACACTTCAAATATTCTAGGCACTGTAGTACTACCCATCATTCTATGGTGCAGGCGAATCGAACTTGCCTTTATCCCTTGCCTGCCGGATTATCGGCTTTCACTTGAAAGCGGCCGTCATCGGAACTATGATGGTGATGCCAGCTAACTAGGGGGTGTTTTCAATTAAGTTTTTTACGTTTCTGGAACTTATATGCAACAAAAATAACGTAAAAATGTTAAAATGACCTAAACTTATTTATAATTAACCTACGTAAGGTGACGCTCTCATTCAACGAACAACTTTTTCAATACAAGACATAGCCTTTAAAGTTGGTAACAAACGCCAAAATTGCCGATCTGAAAGGCTGAGTACGAAGACTCTTATTCCTACGTAGGCAGCGCCGCCATAGATGACCGGCGTTGCGCGCTCATCTGGCAGGCAAAAAAAATCTAGGAGGCTATGATCGAACGAACGGCGATGGGGTTGGGGGAGAGACTGCGAGATTAGTTGAAGCCGTGCGGTTGTTGCTGTCTGTTTGAGGTTCAGTTTTTTTTTATTCTCCGTTTTAGTATCGCGCGCAGCTTTTGGTTGATCGCGCCAAGCGAGCAGAGACGGCTGTCACTGATTACAGGTTTTCTTTGTTTAAATAGGTGTGTTTCATATTTAAAGCAGTGTACGGTTCTTTGTGATGCAGTACGTGAAGTTGGCGGCTTCTGCTTCGTGGTAACGTTCGGAAACACAGTGCTGAACAAGTGGTTCCGCGGCTTCGCGCTATGGCCAACAATAGCGGTGATAACTTTCAGCTGAACGACAATAATGGTACGTATGGTGGGTCCAACCTTCTTTTCCCATGTGTTAAAGGCGACAGTTTTGCTAACTTTTGGATCCTGCGTGTGTGCATGCGTCTTGCGTGTGATTTCAGTGTAGCTGAAGCTTGCTCTGTCTGCTTCGTGACATTTCATGTGGAGCCGGTACAGATACTTGTGCTGCAGTAGCGCAGCTTTTGTAAGCGTTGCTCAATCGCAAAGTGACGCAACAACGGATTTCCTGAGGGTACTGGTATCGGCATTGTAGCATCATTGTAGCCGAGATTGGATTGATAGCATGTTGATTGGTTCCGGTGGGGCAAGCGAATTGAAAGGTTTTGTTGCAGATGAGAAAACGCCAGTACCAGAAACCTCCTATCTTTGTCAAGTGGTAAAAAAAAACAACCGTTGCAGTGCGTCATTTCTTGTTCTATATGCGTGACTTCGCTTCTTAATGAACTGCTGAAATAAATCGCACCATTTACAGGTCTAATAACTGTGAATGGTGCTTTAATGATACAGCAAGTGCAAACAGCGCATTTTGACTGGGTGCGATGTGTTACAGATTGTTCTCTTGAAAACTAAAAAAACAAAAGGGTGGCAAAGTGTTGCTTGTCACATACATGGCATGCAGTGTGTGGTAGTGGGAATTAGTTGGCATTGTTTACAAGGGACATCTGAAATAATTTGTTAGTGGGCGACTACAGTGCTCTATGATCACTGCTATTCAGCAGCCTGCAGGTAGTAAAATCTTTTCCTGCTTGTGTCAGTTACCTGTCTTGCAGGCAACTACTTCGATCACGCGGTCTTATCACAGTCGCATGGGGGTTTGAGTCGCCTAGTTGCATACAGCTCAAGTGGCGTTTTTTATCAAGGCACAGGACTTTTTCACATTTGCCGAGCCCTCTTGAAGCAATTGTGATATGTGCTCTCTTTTGGCACTTCAACTGTATAATGAACTTGGTGTGATTGTGTGAGTGTGCTGCGCACACTCACACCCACACAATCACACCAAGTTGATCAGCTGAGCAATTGAGAAAAACTGTGTTGTTTTGCGCTAGTGCAGTTGTAAGACATACTTCAGGGTCCTTGTAGATGTTCAGTATGCTATAAAAAAGTGCATATTTACAAAACTTCATTCTGATGTTGCAGGTCTTATTGGCTATGAAATAGGAGGGCTTTACAAATACAGTTCAAACTCTATTTAATAAAGTGATGACCATGTTTGAATTGTTTTTTTTTAATTGGTACGTCCTCAAAATCGAGAAAGGGATTTTTTAGTCCTTCAAAATCTTATATTGTAACATAGTGACACCCAAAAGCTGCCGTGATGTTGTATTGATGCTTGCACATGCCTGCGTCTGCGAAAGTGAGGCAGTGCAGACATGGGAGGCTTTTGTGTACGGTAAATATAGACCATGTAGACTGTCATGTGAAGCCGTTACAGGCTCACGGTGCGCAAAGGGGGGAGAAAACAAAAAATGCAGTAGTCTCGTAAGCAGGTGCAGCAAGAAAGTTGCACCAGGAGATGATGAGCGTAATCTGTTGCATAAACAATGAAATGACAACAACAGCCACGACGGTGTTTTTGGAAGACTGTGTGCAGGATAAATAAACCATTGCCGCTGTTCATGACATGTGGTATGTGAGAGTTACCAGCTGTTGGGTACATTGTTTCGTACATGGGTGCTCCGTGCATCCTTGTGTAAACATTATTAGGTTTGTTTTACATGTTAGCATTAGAATGCACACTAGAAGAGAAGCTCGTCTGAGGGAAAATCTGAAAGAAATTGCTGCTTTATGGGTTCGTTCACTTTAGTAAAAACTGTTAAATTGGGTTTGGGGCCATGTTAATTCCGGCTATAGAAAACATCGAAGCCTGTGGATGCCTGTGGGGAAATCGAAGTTTGTTTGGTAGATATAGAACTTTGTTGAATAATTGGGTTTTGTTAGATAGTTTTAACTGTATATGTGTATAACGGCCTGGTCTGCTTCTTATTCTTTCTATGTTTTCAGCCAACAGCACCAGTGAGACGGATGCAAAAAGCCTTTTTGGAGGGTAAGTGACTTTTCTTAAGCTTCTTTGTATTTCGGAAAATTGTGTAATTTTCTTGTGTATATAATACTGAACTGTGGAGGCTAATGGAATTAAAGTTTAAATAGTAATAGAACTGCCTATCTTATGGCACGGTGGACATTGAAATATGTGTGTGTGGCTGCCCCTGTATCCTGAATCTGGTAATTTTCTATTTTGCTTTGTTATTTTTTACATGAGGTGTTCAAGCATGTGTGTGCAGGCATTGTGCTGGAGTATGCAATCTATGCAGAAAAGCAATCGGGCTGCAAGGTGGCGTCTTGTTGCCTGTTTGTCTAAAACCACTGCATTCATTGTAGAAAACTTGCACAAACAACAGGATTATCACAGCAGAAAACAAAGATGACCATGCATAATCCTTGTTATTGTGCAGTACTGTTAATTATTATTTTGAACACATACCGATTGACTGAAGTGTTTCTTTAATTTTCATCTGACTCTGTAGGCTTTTCATACTGTTTGAGGTTGTAAAAGGTAATTGCCATCAGCCGAAGCCTACTGAAAGATACAGATTACACCCTCAACTTTTCTGATTATCCCTGCCCTGCACCACTGGGGTCCTCCTTGCACCCTTCAGTTTCCTGGCCTCATCTGTTGGTCTGATTCTGTATTGCTGCTCGCAGTGGTGTTTCCCTTTTTCTTCATTATGCATGCAATGTCGTTATACCCCACCTGATATTTTACTGGCGGCCCTCAAAGCGGCCGCCAGGTACTCTCTGTCGGTCCCTATGTGGGAGATGCCCGCTAAGCGCGTTCTGCCAGACTGAAATAAAGTTTTTTCATTCCATTCCATATTTTTCTTGAACATTATGTTCTACTTGGCACTTTTTGAGGTCTGAAAAATGCGCATGCTTTCCTGGTCTTTCTGTGTGAAACAGCTAGAGTATGTGAAACAAATTATTGGTGTGGGCTTGCTTACATCTATCTATAGCCATCAATTTTTTTGCACAGAATGTACAACAAAGGTGCATAGGCACTCGGAGATTTGAGCCTCTATGTCTTTGTTGTAGATTCTTTGTTAAAAGAACCCTTAAGTGAAACAGTGACTTGATTTAGATTGATAAACTCTACTCTGAAAACTCTAATGCCGTAAGCTTCACCAGCATAGATTCATTATTGGAGAAAATCGGGGCTGAAGTTTCATTTTCACATTTCAAGCCGAAATCTCTGCACATGAAGTCATGGATTTCACAATGTATTTTTCGTATTTTCGCAATGTTAGCTTGAAATTTTCTAAAACCTCGTGTGTTAGTTCTCTCCCCCCCCACCTCTAGATGACAATGTACTTCATTTTTACTGATTAGGAGCTATGTAGAACCTAGTAGACCCTGTCAAAATCTATGACGTGACAGTGTTTGGTGCGGGAATCTCAAGGTGGCATCTCCAACCGCATTTCCTTTTCACGCATTTGCTCCCTTACCAAGTGTTGTCTTGTGGCAAGAGTGTTGTTTTTCCAATTGTGGAGTTGTGCTTTACTGATACTGCAAAAATCGTTTCTCTCTTTAGTGTACCTTTAAAATGCCTCTAAGTACTATGCATGATGTTCCGGGTCAAGTCAGTAGCTTTCACATTAGGTCCTCTACAACCATTTTGGGTTTAGCTTAAAGGGGTCGTGCCACCAAATTTCGAGGCTAAAACAAGCTTCTTGCGGGATTCTTTTGTATGCTAGGACACTATACACGAATGGTCAAACACAGGAAACGTTCAAAATATATCTAAGTTAACCTCTACAGTGTTCCTGAATGCTCGTTCTTCCGACTGAAGCCCATCGGCAAGTGCTTCCGGAATTGTCGTAGCCCTGTAGGAAGGAAAGCGAAAGTTGCAGTGATGTCACACCAAATCTGTAGTGAGCGTAGGTGGGAGCAGGTTTTCCTTCAGGGAGGACAAAGGTTCATCACAGCACACCCTCCGAAATATGCAAATGCATGGAGCTGATTTTGCACCCCCCCCCCCCCCCCTAGTCGCAGCGCCCCCTCCTGTTTATGTCAATGCGTGGGGCTGTGGTAACACCCCCTCTTACCACCCTACTGTGCGCACGCTTATTGTATTGTAATGAGGTAAGGGATCTCTAGAGACCTCTGCTATGTACATACCGTCAAAGCAACCCGGCTGCTGCATAGTTGTTTTACAGGTGCTTGTGTGGAATGTCTGTGGGAGAGCAGACGATAATCATTGTGACGTGCGCCTCATTCTTGTGTGGTCGCGTGACCAAGCCATCTACACTGCCACGTCACAGTCCAATTCGATGCCCAGAAAACGAAAACGAAAATATTCACATAAGGAAAGCAATAATATTTTATTCAGCGTGAATAAATGTATCTTTGTGTGTGTATTATGCTTCCTGGAGCTATAAGAAATGCTTGCAGCAAAGAATGCGCAAGCCACAAATATGGTGGCACCACCCTTTAAGGTGGTGGTTCTACTGTCGCCATCTTGCGAGTAGTTTTTTCTGTAGCCGCCAGAAGACGCCACTAAAGCACATTTGGAAAAAAATGGAGGAAAATGCGCTCCTATTGTCGAAGCATGCAACGGTGAAGAGGCTGTTCCTGCAGTAACTAATTCATTCTTTTTCAGGGGCCCTGCTGCTTCCATGATCTCCTTTGAAATGTTTCATATCTGCGTGATGCTTCCCCCCTTCCCCCTGCATAAAAAAAGAAGGACGCTCCAGGAAGCTCTACTCCCTTGCAACTTCCCAGAAAAGAGGAGGCTCTCTTTGTCCTGTAAACGTATAACTATTTACAATACAGTGGTTAGGCTCCGACTTTCACTGAGCTGCGCTGGCGGCGAGGATTTCTATAAGGAATGATTCGGTTTCTTTACTGACTCTTTCTCTCCCTCTCTAAGAAAAAAGTATAAGACCATTCGTTTGTGCAGGAACTTCTCGAAAAAGATGGGCAGTGGCCCTGAATAGGGGAGACCCGCTCAAGTTTGCCCGCCGACGCCAGCGCTTGCCTTTCCCCTGCCAGAAAAAGCGCACAATAGTAGCGTGTAGCGACCCTTCCGCTCCCTTTGGCTTCCACGCATTTGCGAAGCGCGCGCTGCACGTGAAACGTCCCTCGTTCCGCGATGTCACCCCAACAGAAAGGGGGGAAATATTGCTGCGTCGTCAACTGTCGCAATAACCATGCAAACACGAAGGGGTCGACTCCACCAGTGAAATTTTACTGATTCCCAAACCGATGGCACGAAAAAAAGCAGACGACAGGAATGGATCAAAGCAATGCGCCGAGAAAAGTAGATTGCTTTTTTGATAGTTTTTATACAAAGTAAAAATGATTCAAGCAACAGACAATGCAAAATGTTTAATCAATAAGTTTTCATACGTAGCTATCTCCGTACAGTTCTTGTATGAAATGTTTCTGTGCACACAGATGGACACAATTGCTAGTTTTTTTTAATGGGCATTCTGCCATTGTACATGTTTTCATAGAGTTTGATTTGATATGCAGTATTTGTTTTATTTTGTGAATGTAAGGCGTTACTAACAGGATCACAGAAAACCCTTAAACGTATACTCATTTTCAGACTTCTTGTACATTTCATACTTGAAGATGATAAAAAAAGTTATTATCTGGCGCACTACAGATATGCTCAATGTTGATCACCGTACAATATCTGAATAAAAAAACTCCAACGTATGAACGTTGTTGTCAACGGCACAATCTAATCTCTGCCACAATGTTATTTTGCTTAGGTGGAAGCGTCATTCTGTGAGGGCTGTCAGATCAGCACAAAATTTCGTGGAGCAGGCTGTGCCGCAAGGTATTGCTCAAGATGACCCAGCAATGCAAGATGAAGAGAACTCTGTTTTCCTCTATGTCTAAGACATGCTTTCAAGTTATTTAGAATCGCTAGAGTTGCCAGCGATGCAACTACATTTGCCGCTGGAGATGCGAAGCTTCCGCTTGAGTGGGCACGACCACGACAACTACGAAAAAAAAAAAATGCATTAGTCGTTGTTGCACGTTCATTGGCAGATACAGTGAACTAGTTGTTCCTGAGTGAGCAGGTGCAGCCCGTACAACACGGTGCATTTTCGATGGTGACCAAGATAAAATGCCTTTAAAGCAATGTGCTCTTCCCCCGCAGATTAGACACACAAAAAAAGTTTCTCTGAAAGCTGAGCGCTCATCATGATGGCACGCAGGCTGTTAACAGCGTGAATTCGAAGCACCCGCAATGAGAACGGTGATAATGTAAGGAAGAACACGCGAGAAGAGATGTCAATTTTTGTTGTGGGTCAGAAAGAAGCCCCAAATAGACCCTTTATTTTTGAAGTGCTGTGTATATTCCACACGATAACTTGGATGGGTGTTAGTAAATTAAGGTACCCCAACTAATAGCAGTAACAGCGCAAGAACCGCTTAACTTAAAGCACGAGAAGCGGCCTTACCCATGCATCCAGTAACAAACATAGTGCATAGTATACACAGCAAACCAAATAAAACAGGTATATAATTGTGAACGTACAGAAAGTTGTACTCACCTCTGATTCCACGACGTAAACAGCGTCGTCTTTCACTTGCGAAACGCACTTTGCTCTGACGAGGACGGCGTCGTCTGCTACAATTTGCTTCACATCGGCTACATGGCTGAGCAGACGCTGCCCTTTTACCAAATTACTCCCACGAAAAAAATTCTCAATTGCGGCGATCCTATCAAACACAGGCAGAAGGGTATATATCATAACCGCGTGCGACGCGAAACTCTTAAAAACACGTGCGGAATGCGTGCAGCGTGCGAGCAAAGCAATGCGTTTTCAAGGCAGGTTGAAGGGGACAGTGGAAGGGTCAACACTCGAGTAACCAGTTTTCACCCCACATTGACCGACAGTGCCAGGTTCTGCAGCGCTTCCCTCGGCGTGGGTCTTCCCTATACTGGCAGTGTTGAGTCATGGAAAAGAGCCCCCATCTTGTGCATGTGCGTATTACTTGGAGATTTCTCGGTAGTCACCAGCTTTGGTT